AAAAGATCAGAGATGGTTAGGTAGCCGGATGCTCTGTAATTCTGGCACTGAGCGCAGCGAAGCAGCGGGAATCCCCTTTGAAGTGCTAAGCTCCTGATCCCTCGCGCCGCTGCAGAATCACAGCCGAGAAGCAGGCAGACTCATTATCGCCGCCTTGTCTAAATTCATGAAGGGGCGACTGCTTCCCCTGACATAACATGCCAACGCATCATCCGCGGGATCCTTCTGGCACAGCCTCGCCAGCCACACTTCAGACTGCCAAAAGAGTGGCGCATTTGCCACCCTTATCGCAGGCAGCCCTCCAACAGGTGGGGCGGAGGAGCCGCACGGAGGCGGCGTGCCTTTGATGCGCTTTGTCAAAACATGGAGGGGTCTTCGCTTTGAAATTCATCGGCTCTCGGGGCGGATGTGTGAAAGAAAGAAAGGGGTGGGCGGTGGGTCGCCTCGGACGGTGGAAGGCAGCAAGGGGTGGGCGGTGGGTCGCCTCGGACGGTGGAAGGCACCCTCTTCCAGAGTCAAACGGCCGGCCGCGTCGCTGCCAAAGCCAAGCAATTAATTGGGCTCTTGCAATCGACTAGTCCCTATGGCGGAGACTCTGAGCAGCGGAGGCGAATGTAGTTGGGGGGAAGGGCTGAGATAGGGCGAGATATATCACACGGTGATGGTGCTGGACATAGGAGCCAACTCCTAGAGACCGAGGTCCCTTCAGCCCACCCAGTGCCAGATTTACATATAAGCTAAACAAGCTATAGCTTAGGGCCCCACTCTCTTGGGGGCCCTAAAAAAAAATAAAGGGGAAAAACCCTGTTATGAATAAAAATCATTTTAAGTTAGAGCTTAATAATTATTTCACTATTAATATACTTCTTCTTAATTGTATTTCACTATTAATATACTTCTTAATTGTATTTCAGTTCAACAATTACTTTGATAAAGTACATATTTTGTTATGTGCAAATGGCTTTAGATACCTATTAACTCCATAAATTACCATGTAGCATATATTCAACACAAAAAACAGCAACAATTTGTTATTGACAAAGGACAGCTGGACATATAAAGGGACCCATTACCTTTAGTAGCTTAGGGCCTCATCAAAATCCAGCCCTGGGCCCACCCCCCAATCAAATATCTGAGGAGGTCAGCTCCCCCCCCCCAGTTGATGTGCATTGCAAGTCAAATGGTGTGTGTGCACTGTGTCATGTAATCGACTATGTTGGGTGGGGCTTACCTGCCCCCCCATATTGTATTCAAGCTGGCACCCCTGGCGAGACATAGCATAGCGTGGTGGTGCTTGAGGTGTCACTGAAAGAAAGCCCCCCCCCTCTCTGAAATCAAAGAGGCACTAGCCTCTTTCCAGCTCTGCAGTTTAGCACTCGAATAGCATCTTGAAAGGCATCTTCGGAGGACGTGCAGAGTGCATTCTCCTAGCTCCTAAATTACCTGAGCTGCCTGCCTACCATTTCTGCAATCAAAAGAGGAGATTGAGCCCCAACACCTCTAAATTTCATATGATTATTGTGATTTCTTCAATCGATGCACGCCCAGCAAGAAGTCTGATCCCATTAGAGTCCACGGGGCTTTCTTCCAAGTCAGTGAACATAACATTGCAGCCTGAGGCTGTAAGCCTGCACACGCCAAAACACACACACTGTGGGTCAGCCCCATTGATCCCCAAGTTGCCACTCCCCATCATAAGTAGCTGGCTTGCATAGGAGCAATCCTAGTCACCTCATTGACTTTACCCAGACGCTGCTTCTCTAAGTTGAAACCCCCCAAAATAAGCAGCTTCGAGAACGGCAAAAGTGCATTTCCCTCATTTTTATACGTGAGGGATGGATTCCAAAAAGACAAGGCTGGGGAAATGCAGCCGCCACCCAAAGAGAGACCTTTTGCAGCACTCGGGGCGTCTCTTTGTTCCTAGGCACGAAGAGAGGCTTTCCTAAGCACACGGTGACATTTCATCACAGCCATGAGCGATGAAAGCCAGCAGCAGGCCGAGGTGGTGCCTTTGGAACTACATAAGAAAGGGATCTGTGAAAGATTCGGGACAGACAAAAGAGAGCGCTTCTTCCCACAGCGCAGCATAGCTATGAAACTCTCTCGCACAGGAGCCAGTGATGGCCACCCACTTGAATGCCTTTGAAAGCAGGTTGGACACATTCATGCAGGAGAAGGCTGTCAGGGGCTGTGCATCCTGGTGGCGATGTTCTACCTCTACTCTCTGAGACAGTCAGCTCCTGAACATCTGTTGCTGGGAATCACAAGTGGCGAGAGTGCTCTGGTCTTGCTTGCGAGCTTCCCACAGGCATCTATCTGGCTGGCCACTTTGAAAACAGAATGCTGGACTAGGTGGGCTCTTCTGATAAAGCCAGGACCCAAGAAAGATACACCACATGTTTGGGGAATCCAATATAAGGAAGAGAAGCAAGCCCACACCAGCAGAGCTGTGAGCCCAGAGGGCCAAGAGGAGTCGGCTGGAGGCCTAGGAGAACAAAGTGAAGGCAGTGGGTTTCTTCAGGCATACAAACAAGATTTTACGAGCCTCTCTGCGTGGATTGGGCCCTCTGCTCCACTCAGAAAAGAAGGCACAAGTTTGCCAAACATTTTTCTATGCTTTGTGTTGTATGCAAGTCTGCATCCTCTCCTCCAGGTTGATTGGTGGGCTGAAAATTACTTGCCACAAGCAAGTAATAGGATCCCAGATATATAGAAGGTCAACATGGGAAGATTTTCTCATAATTGTATTTTCATACCAAACAATCTTTAACCCAGGCCCCTTCAAACTTTCTATACTGCAAAGGCCCACTTGAGAGGACTGTAAATTACTAGCCCCCCCCCCCAACCTGAAAGTGGACTCAAGCTCACTGCTGGCTTCACCTGCTGAATTTCCACACAACTGTTAAAGCACAATAACCCTGCTCTGATGTTGGGAAAGATTGAGGACACAAGGAGAAGGGGACAACAAAGGATGAGATGGTTGGACAGTGTTCTCGAAGCTACCAGCATGAGTTTCACCAAACTGTGGGAGTCAGTGGAAGACAGGAGTGCCTGGTGTGCTCTGGTCCATGGGGTCACGAAGAGTCGGAAATGACTAAACGACAACAACAGCAACTCCCAACACCAACCCTAAACCATGCAAAGAGCTCAAGGTGCATTAGTTATAAACCTGTTTTGTTACTGTAGGCCAGGTGTGGGGAACTTTTGGCCTTCCAGATGTTGCTGAACTACACTTCCCATCAGCCCTTGCTATTGGACATGCTTGCTGAGGCTGATGGGAGTTGTATTTCAGCAACACCTGGCAAGCCAAAGGTTCCTCACACCTGCCACAGGTCTTTCATCACTTGATCTTAGGCTGAAAATACTGCATTCAGTGCAAGGCAGAGAAGGTACTTTAGATGGGGCAGTGGGGTTGGGGGCAAAAGAGATTTAAGGTTTGCAGAGGCAAAGGATCAGATACCCTTGAGCTGAAAAAGAAAAGCTTCCTCACTCCTTTCTTTTTCTTTGGTGATCCAGTAGGTGCTATTAGACAAATGGGAGGTTTCTGATCTCTTTCTGAATGGGGTATATAGTGAACTGGAAAACCATCTCACCCTCCTGGAGAAAGATGCCTAGGAAGCCAGGAGCAGGAGCAGCTCTGCAACTACAACCACCACCCTGTCAGGTTGAGGCCACATCGAATTATCAGCTGAGCAGTTCAAAGCATTGGATCATCTCTGCACCAGGAAGAACACACTGCTGTCCATGGTGCTGACTTAGTGCAGGTGAGAGGCAAGGCAAAGGTATGGCAAAGCCAGGTAGTGTTAAAGGAGAAAGGGAGGCAGAGTCACAAGACTTAGCTGCAAGTAGGCAGGATGGTGGACTTGCTGGTATGTCCCACTGAGCTTAGTGGGCCACTTGCAAGTCAACATACAGTGGTACCTTGGGTTACAAACACTTCGGGTTACAAACTCTGCTAACCCGGAAGTAGTACCTTGGGTTGAGAACTTTGCCCCAGAATGAGGCGGCACAGCGGCAGCAGGAGGCCCCATTAGTGAAAGTGGGCCTCAGGTTAAGAACGGTTTCGGGTTAAAAATGGACCTCTGGCACGAATTAAGTTCATAACCCGAGGTACTACTGTACATAGAATAAAGCTGCAAGAATTTTGCACAGATAGTGAACAGTGGGGGTCGGTTTTTCTAAGAGCCCAACTAGACAGGATATGGAAATTTCATTAACTGGATCTCCTACTGTCCATCCGCCAGCTGCTGGTCCATTCTTGGGAAACCTAGGGAATATTGTAAGAACATAAGAGTGTGCTGGGAATCACAAGTTGGGAGTGTGCTATTGCGCTCAGTTCCTGTTTGCTGGTTTCCTAGAGGCATCTGTTTGGCCATTGTGAGAACAGGATCCTAGACTAGATGGGCCATTTGCCCAACCATCTCTTCTTAATTTTGTTCTTTTAGTCTCTTTAAAGCTCCCATTAGCAGTACAGAAAAAAGTGCACAAGGGGTGACTACAGCATGTGAGACGGGAAGAATACCCCTTCCCCATCCTGCAGCAATGCCTTAACACTGTTCCCATTGGCACACTTACTAAAGCTCCACTGCTTCCATCAACCCATTTTGGTTGATTAACATGCTATGGCCTTTTAAATGTGCTTGTTGGGTGGAGTTATTGGTTTGTTATTGTCTTGTGTATTTGGTGTTTTCATTTTTATGTTGTGAACCACCCTGCGATCTTCGGATATACAAATTTAATCAATATTTATTTTACGCACTTACTGACATTTAATCGCACTTTCTAACTTAGCTGTTAGCAGTCTTTGTAGGAATTTTTGCAGATTCCTTCACTAGACATCTAGCCCAAATTTTAGAAAATGCTGAAATAGCAATGCTGAAATAACCACCTGCCTTTGGTTGCAGGATTTTAGAAAACACTGAACTAAAGAAATCAACAAAAAAAAATTAATATAAAAATATTTTTTTATTCTCAATTCTTCAATCTTTATTCAATCATGATTCAATATTCAATCTTTATTCAATTTATTCAATGTTATGTGTTCTTGCACATTTACCTATATATGCTCTGCAATAAAACCAACATATTTCTGAACAAGATCTACCACGCCATCCCATATCCTAATGCAGGAGTAGGAAAAGTTTGCTTGGAAGAATCCATCTTGTACTCTTCAGTTGAATTTCCTGAGAACTGGGTTGGAAAGTGGTAAGGCAGACCAGGTAATGGAAATGGATAAGGTGGATTTTGGAAGGGCTGGTACTTGCAGCCAGGAGGATTGGGCCACAAAGCAGGATTTGGCATATAAGGTAGAAGGCTGGGTGGGATCCTGGGCTGACATATCAGACAGCCGGGAGATGAAGGCCAGAGGCGTCGGCGATAGTCTTGTAGCTGTCGCTTAAGTTTCATCCTGCGATTCTGGAACCAGTTTTTAACCTAATAATAAGAATAATAAAGTAAATTCAGAAGCTAGTAGTCACAGAAACAGCCTCGTGTTCTCAGAATGCACAGTCACATCAATGGGCCACTCAGACGTTTCCACGTAACCAAATGGCAGCGCTACCATGTATTTAGTATTGTACAATGAGTCTCCCAAAGCAGATCATAAACCACCCTCTGCAATGATCTCAAAGAAGCTTCCCCCAACTGGTGCCTGTTTTTGACTGCAAGTACTGACAGCTCCTGCCACTGTGGCCAATGGCCAGGGCCAACTAAACCAAAACCAACCCCCTGGTTGAAATTATCAATTTGTCCCTTGACACGGGGACATTCCCAGGGGAACTGAAGGAAGCAGTGGTGTGTCCACTCTTAAAGAAAACTTCATTAGATCCCTTAGACCTATCCAATTACCGCCCAGTTTCAAATCTTCCATACCTGGGTAATTGAGAGAGCGGTTGCTGAACAGCTTGGTAGGTTTCTGGAGGAAACATCGGCATTAGATCCATTTCAGTCCGGTTTCCGTCCTGGTTTTGGGACGGAGATGGCTCTGGTTGCCCTAACAGATGATCTCCGTAGACAACTGGATGGAGGCGGGTCAGGACTGCTGATCCTTTTAGATTTGTCAGCAGCCTTTGACATGGTCGATCATGATCTTCTGGACCACCGCCTCGCAGACGTGGGGATACAGGGCATAGCCCGTAACTGGTTGTGCTCTTTTATCTCTGGTTGGGGACAGAGGGTGGCACTAGGGAGGGAAATGTCGTCGCGCCACTCCTTGGTGTGTGGAGTGCCGCAGGGCGCAATTCTCTCCCCGATGCTTTTTAACATCTTTATGCACCCCCTTGCCCAGATTATCCGGAGCTTTGGGCTGGGCTGTCACCAATATGCTGATGACACTCAGCTCTATCTGCTGATGGATGGCCACACCGACTCACCCCCGGACATACTGACCAGATGCTTGGAAGCTGTGGCTGGATGGTTTCGTGGGAGCCAATTGAAACTAAATCCTTCGAAGACAGAGGTCCTATGGCTAGGTCGGGATGGCATGGGGATGAGGGACCAACTCCCTTCTCTTGCGGGGGCCCAATTAGTGCCATTGCCTTCAGTTAAGAGTTTGGGTGTAATCCTTGACGCCTCCCTTTCCATGGAGGCGCAAGTTACAGCAACAGCCAAAGCGACATTTTTCCACCTTCGCCGCATCAAGCAGTTGGTCCCTTACCTTTCCCGCCCCGACCTGGCCACAGTGATCCATGCGACGGTCATCTCCAGGCTTGACTACTGTAATTCGCTCTACGCGGGGCTGCCCTTGAAGCTGTCCCAGAAACTCCAGCGGGTACAGAATGCTGCAGCGAGGCTCCTCACGGGGTCTCTGCCATGGGAGCATATTCACCCAGTGCTTTTCAAGCTGCACTGGCTCCCGGTGGAGTACAGGGTCAGATTTAAGGTGCTGCTTTTGACCTTTAAAGGCCTTCACGGCCTAGGACCCTCGTACCTACGGGACCGCCTCTCCTGGTATGCCCCACGGAGAGCCTCAAGGTCCATAAATAACAACACCCTAGTGGTCCCAGGCCCTGAGGAAGTTAGATTGGCTTCAACCAGAGCCAGGGCCTTTTCAACTCTGGCTCCGGCCTGGTGGAACGCTCTGCCTCATGAGACCAGGGCCCTGCAGGATCTGATTTCTTTCCGCAGGGCCTGCAAGACAGAGTTGTTCCGCCTGGCCTTTGGCTTGGAGCCAATTTGATTCCCTCCCTCCCTCTCTTTCTTTTTTCTTTTCCTTCTCCTCCTGCGATGAGGCTACATTTTAAATATTTTAATGTTCCATTATTTTAATGTTGTATTTTATTTTTGTTTTTAAGTTGTAAACATTCATCTTGTTTTTATTATTGCTTGTAAGCCGCTCTGAGCCCGGCCTTGGCTGGGGAGGGCTGGGTATAAATAAAAAATTATTATTATTATTATTATTATTATTATTAAAAAAGATTCTCCACCCCACCCCTAAAGTAGTAAAGGTAACGGGACCCCTGACCATTAGGTCCAGTCACGGACGACTCTGGGGTTGCAGCGCTCATCTATCTTTATTAGCCAAGGGAGCCGGCGTACAGCTTCCAGGTCATGTGGCCAGCATGACTAAGCCACTTCTGGAGAACCAGAGCAGTGCACAGAAATGCCATTTACCTTCCCGCCGGAGTGGTACCTATTTATCTACTTGCACTTTGACGTGCTTTCGAACTGCTAGGTTGGCAGGAGCAGGGACCAAGCAACGGGAGCTCACCCCGTCGCAGGGATTCAAACCGCCTACCTTCTAATTGGCAAGTCCTAGGCCCTGTGGTTTAACCCACAGCGCCACCCATGTCCCTACCCCTAAACTACAGGCTATGAAATACAGAAGCTAGTGCCTAGATGTGAGCATAGCGCTCAGCAATAGATAAAAGTGGCAAAATGATATGGTAGTGGGTATTAGTCAGTTAAGAGACTCCCTCCCTGATGCCATTTCCTATCCAACTAGTCTGTGCAAATTTTACATGCTGTTTGGTAGTATCACAGAAGCAGAGAGCTGCTAATACCTCACTGGGTGTATTTATAAAGACACTGTGCAGCTTCCCATCAAGGACGCTGTACTTGCATCCTGTGCCAAGCAGAGGGTTGGGCTAGATGACTTCAGAGGTCCCTTCAAGCTCTAGTTATAAGTGTGTGATCAAGGGCCTGGCAAGCCTATTTCTGTGATCGGTAACTGGACTTCCCTCAGACACTAAATGCGCTCAGGGCAATGCCTAGAAAATCAGTGATTCCTCCCGTTGGGGATGGAGGCAAGGGAGGACACAGAATCCCACCTCCCCCAAATTTGAACCCTTCTGCTTTAGACCTTAGCAAGCTAGTCAGAAGGGAGTTTTCTAATCAGGTTCTATGGAGCAAACATAGGAACTCTCTGCGATCCAGAGCCCTGGCGCAGACTTGTAATCGCAGGGAAGATCCCACAGGTTTTTAAAGCTGCAGGCTGGGCAACTAGCTCCACTGAGCAAGCAACATAAACATGCAGAGAACTGCAGTCTAAGCAGTGACCCCAAACACACCTACTATGGAGCTCATTCCACAGGAAGGCATATTTGCACTGTTAATTATGCACTACGATACTAAAGGGCAGCGAGGCTGTCGAAATGACCGTTTCCCCTCCACAGTCTATAAACTGTCTGAATAGGGCCACAGCGGCTCTTCCAAACTTGGTGCAAAAATATTCAGCATAATTGTCCTACATCTGTAGGCATTTCACTGACAACCTAAGGATGCCCAACCTAAGTGATTTACCAAATGACTGTGCCCTAGGTCTTTTGATGAGCGAGCTGGATAAATAAGAGGTGGCATGGGCATAATCCTGTGGTTGGTCTTTCTTGCTAAATGGATGCAAACAAGCCATGTAGATAAGACAGTTGCCAGCGCTCCCATCTGCACAATGCAGCACTCAGCAAGAATTCCCATTTCAAAAGCCAGCTTGGCACCAGTCCACAAGGCACTTCTTTTCTCTAAAGTAATCTCACAGCAGGTTCTTTAAAGAGAAATGGACTTGTGGCTTGCCATTTCTCTTCGGGGTGGTCCCACCGAGAGACACTCAAAAAACTGCAGACTCTTAAGTAAGATGCCATGAATTCCATGGAACTTGGGCCACATTCTTGTCCTACACTCACCGCACTATTATACCATTTTAAGCTATCATAGCTGCTTCCCCCAAGGAATCTTGGGAAATGTAGTTTGTTAAGGGGTTTATAGAATTGTTGGGAGGCTCCTTAGTATCCCTCACAAAGTTATAATTCACAGAGTAGTTTTAACAACCCATCCCTCCTCTTCACAGGGAACTCTGGAAATTGTAACCAGGTTAGGGGAACACGGCTCTCTTAATCCTCAACATGCTCAACTACAGCTCCCAGAATTCTTTGGGGGAAGCCATGATTAAAGTAGTACAGTGGTACCTTAGGTTATATACGCTTCAGGTTACATACGCTTCAGGTTACAGACTCCGCTAACCCAGAAATAGTGCTTCAGGTTAAGAACTTTGCTTCAGGATGAGAACAGAAATCGTGCTCCGGCGGCCCGGCGGCAACAGGAGGCCTCATTAGCTAAAGTGGTCTTCAGGTTAAGAACAGTTTAAGGTTAAGTACGGACCTCCAGAACGAATTAAGTACTTAACCCAAGGTACCACTGTATCATAGTACTTTACACTGTATGGTCTTACACTTTAGTAAGTGCGCTTGAGATTTCAGCAATAACTGAAGACTTTTCAGCTTTTTATTTTATTATTACATTTATAGCCTGCCTTTTCTTCCACTGGGAAGTAGGCTACCCTTCTATGTGAGATTCATATGGCATTTGTTCCCATCCTTCTTCATGGTTGTTCAGGGCAGGTCATCCTCACAACCACCTTGTATGGCAGGTCAGGATGAGAGGCAAGCAATGAGCCAAAAGTTTATCTATTGCAGAATGTGGATTTGAATCCAGATCCAACACCTTTTCATCTTCAACCAGCTCCTTCTCTAGTTTGCATGAACTGTTACTTATTAAAAAATTAATCCCTCTTACATTTATACCCTGCTTTTTCCCCCATCACAGACTTCAGGCAGTGTACTTGTAATTTGCAAGTGGTCTCCAAACCACCCCCAGACCTACTTAATTTCCAGCACAGGTGGGGCCTCATGACCTTCTCTATCCTAATTCCCACATCAATACTGTACAGTGGTATCTCTGGTTAGTACTTAATTGGTTCCGGAGGTCTGTTCTTAACCTGAAACTGTTCTTAACCTGAAGCACCACTTTAGCTAATGAGGCCTCCTGCTGCCGCCGCGCTGCCAGAGCACGATTTCTGTTCTCATCCTGAAGCAAAGTTCTTAACCTGAGGTACTATTTCTGGCTTAGCGGAGTCTGGAACCTGAAGGGTATGTAACCCAAGGTACCACTGTATATCAATAACGAAACTGCTTCTTAAAGAAACTGTAGTTCAGGAAGAGCTTTCCAAAACCGCACCTCAAGAGGCAACCGGACTACTCAGGAGTAAGTGTCTCAAAGACTTGCTGCCTACAGCACAGGCCAGTCACTCACCTGCTCTTCCGTCAGGTGCAGCTCCGCGGCCAAGTCTTGCCTTTCCCACTGCTTCAGATAGGGTTGTCGCCGGAAGGTGCTCTCCAACCTGCGGAGCTGCTCCATGGTGAACGCTGTGCGCAAACGGGAGTAGTGCCGTCGTTCCTCCCGGTCCAGGTTCACGTCGGAAGCGGCGCTCTTGCTCGCCTCCCTGACCGAGACCGGCTCGCTTGCGCAGGGTCCTTCGCCGGCTACGAAAGCAGGAGAGCAAGAAGTGTGAGCCAAACTTGCCTTCCTTTCTTGAGCGCACCTAACAAGGTCTCGCTGAGATAGCCCCAAGCGGGGGGCGTCTTCTCTCGCTAGGGCTCATTTGCTAAACATTATGGATAGAAAGCTCCCCCCCCGCCCTTTCTGAGGGAGAAGAGGCAACACACCGCGCCTCTCCCGTTTTTTTAACTCTCACGCCTCAATAACAATTTCCACTCTTCTAAACGCGGGTAGACTCGGGGTGCGGCAACATCCATTGCTTAAATCCTGTTGGTTTTAAAAGGACTTGTTCCCAAGTGTACCCTAAAAGCATACCCCCCCCAAAAAAAATAGCGCAGCATTGCTACTGCGCCCTAGAGGAGGTTCTCCAGTACTGCTCAAAAACTAGCCACGGCGCTTGGGGAGGATTACGGCGTTAATACCACCACGTGACTGCCGGGTAATTCTACTAGTCCTCAGTGAGGCTGGTCCGGCGTTTTACTTACTCTTGTTTTGCGAGCCATCGGCGGCAGTTTCACGGGCCTCGCTGCATCCTTCCTCTCCACTTCCGACGGCGGTGGCGTCTCCTCTGCGCAGTCCCGCAGAGGGGCATGGCTTCTTGGGCTGGGCCTTCCCTAACCAGGAGCTTCCTTTGCACAAATTGGGAGCGCTCGGAGCGGGCACGCAGCAGATATGGGGCTTGCGCGCGATCCCCTGCTGATCGCAGGCCTGCTGGCCCATGTGCGCGGGAAACACGCCGACCTCCACGCTTCTCCGGCAGGGGGCCGGCCCTCTACTGCAAATTTATAGGCGACAGCGAGCACTTAAGGAGGAAGATTCGCACCTGGCACTCGCGGCCGGCCGATCTACAGCGCCCCCTCCCGGCAATGCAGAGTTGATTTCCAACACACAAACACCAAGTGGGTGTGTCTTATCTTAGTATCAATATACTACGCCCTGTCCCAAGGGTGTTTCGTTTCTGCTGTTATCTGGTGGTCGTCTTCTTATTTTAGCTGGGGAAGGAGATAAAAGATTTAAACGGAGAAGGAAACTCCCCCACCCCCACCCAGTGATTGCTAATTCTGCGTAACTGCCTTTTAGAGATGTCCCCCCAAAATGGTTTCGTAAAATCTGGAAACATAAGATCAAGAAATGCGAAACTGGCGTATTGCCTCCAGGGCTATATCAAGAATACAGTGGTACCTCGGGTTACATACGCTTCATGTTATAGACTCCGCTAACCCAGAAATAGTACCTCGGGTTAAGAACTTTGCTTCAGGATGAGAACAGAAATCGTGCTCCAGCGGCGCGGCAGCAGCAGGAGGCCCCATTAGCTAAAGTGGTGCTTCAGGTTAAGAACACTTTCAGGTTAAGAACGGACCTCCGGAACAAATAAAGTACTTAACCCAAGGTACCACTGTATATAGATTGGTGGACGCCCAACCCTGGCGGGCCTATTTAGTGCCATAAATAGTACCAGGGAAATTGGAAAATGGGCAGCATTTTCCCCATTTTTAAGAAGGCAAACAGGAACTACTGCTCCTAGTGGTGCAGCAATAAAGCTGCTAGCACATTTGCAAAGTTAAGCAGGGACCAGTATGGTTTCAAGCTGGATTGAGGGTGGTGTGTTAAGATTCCTGCATTGCAAGGGGGTTGGACTAGATGCCCCTTCCTGCTGATTTATTGTCCAAGGTTGTTCCAAGGGATCAACACTGCACCTATGTACAGAAATCGGGTTTGTACTGAGATTGTACGAACATGCTGCCCAGTGGTGTTCACAGAAAGGGGGAGGATGTTAGTTTCTGTTTCTCACTGAGCAGCTGCTTGCAGTCACAGGACTGTTTACATTCCACAATCCAGATACTGTTGGATTCTCACGGGAAAGGGAGATGGGATGTGATGTTACTGGTTCTGTTCGTTTCCTTTGTTCAGTTGCTCTCTGCTTCTCACAGAGAGAAGATGTATTTTTCTTTGCTCTGTGTATAGCTTAGTAATAAAGTATAGCAATGTAGCACCATACCTGCCTCATCCTTCCGTTGTGGACTTTGCTGTTTTAATGCTCTGCTGGGCTCAAAGGAAGATGAGTCATATCAGCTCGGACGACCGGAGCTGAAATTTCAATAAGAAACTGGGAGAAATTATCAAGTTTTGACATTGACCACAGACTCTTGCTGTTGATTAGAGGACTATATGTTGTTGTTTAGTCGTTTAGTCGTGTCCGACTCTTCGTGACCCCATGGACCAGAGCACACCAGGCACTCCTGTCTTCCACTGCCTCCCACAGTTTGGTCAAGCTCATGCTGGTAGCTTCAAGAACACTATCCAACCATCTCGTCCTCTGTCGTCCCCTTCTCCTTGTGCCCTCCATCTTTCCCAACATCAGGGTCTTTTCCAGGGAGTCTTCTCTTCTCATGAGGTGGCCAAAGTATTGGAGCCTCAGCTTCAGGATCTGTCCTTCCAGTGAGTACTCAGGGCTGATTTCCTTAAGAATGGAGAGGTTGGATCTTCTTGCAGTCCATGGGACTCTCAAGAGTCTCCTCCAGCACCAGAATTCAAAAGCATCAATTCTTCGGCGATCAGCCTTCTTTATGGTCCAGCTTTCACTTCCATACATCACTGCTGGGAAAACCATAGCTTTAACTATACGGACCTTTGTTGGCAAGGTGATGTCTCTACTTTTTAAGATGCTGTCTAGGTTTGTCATTGCTTTTCTCCCAAGAAGCAGGTGTCTAATTTCATGGCTACTGTCACCATCTGCAGTGATCATGGAGCCCAAGAAAGTAAAATCTCTCACTGCCTCCATTTCTTCCCCTTCTATTTGCCAGGAGGTGATGGGACCAGTGGCCATGATCTTCGTTTTTTTGATGTTGAGCTTCAGACCATATTTTGCGCTCTCCTCTTTCACCCTCATTAAAAGGTTCTTTAATTCCTCCTTACTTTCTGCCATCAAGGTTGTGTCATCTGCATATCTGAGGTTGTTTTTTTTTTTTAAAATATTTTATTAAGGATTTTCTTGTTTTACAGAAGTGTAGTGCCTCATATATATTTTTCCCCATGTAACATTTTTACAAATCCGTTTCATTTGTTGAGGCATTAGGGGGAGAAGAAAATAAAAATAAAAAT